CCCCAAAACCCCAAAACCCCAAAACCCCAAAACCCCAATAAATTATAATTTTTTGTAATTAATGGAGGAAGAAGCTTCAGAACCTAATTTTGAACACCATAGTCCTTACGAGCTCAGTGAATTGATCACAAATTACTTCACAGTGCGGTCTGAACTACTCCGACCATCAAGGACAAGGAGTCTGAAGAAGCCATCCAGGATGAAGTTCTATTATCTCTCATATGATGAGTTATCACAGATCATGAAATACCTAGATTTAAGGGCTTTATTAACCTGAAGGCTAGTAGATAGGAAGTGCAATATTTCTGCATCTTATGCTCTTAGGGACAACTATCACGAATTCAAAAATGATACTGAAAGCTCAGGCCAAAATTTAATACTAAGAATCCCTCCCAGCAAGACAAATTTCTTAAGGAGGTTACCTAACCCAAACAAGTTTTTCAAAGCAGATGGTGAATTTTTACCTAAGAAAACTTCGATTCACAAGCTCCAGTTGTGAAACCTTCTTCATTGCTTAGCTAAAGGGCCTATAGACGAGTTCGAACTTAACACAAAAATTTTATAAGAAGATTTATGGAAAACAAGAAATTACAGGGCAGAAGTGGAATAACCTTGTCCCTAAATATTCCTCACAAGAGAATACAGCAATTCTTCCATAATCTGAAGCAATGGGATATCTACTGGTTCAAGGACATTAATCTTGAGGAAGATGTTTACGAAGAAGACAACTTAGTAGCTCCCTTAGTCAACTGTAACCTCTCAAGAGCTCTTTTTACAATGCTTTGCTTCTTCATACTAGACTCTGGTGATATCTACAAAGTAGGTAAGCACTCTATTGGAATAAACTGCAAAAAGGGACATGAGTCTGTAAATACTCAGATGTACAAATATCTAGAAAAGTATTATATCCGGCAATATCTCTACTCAGAAGTCATCATCAATATTCTAGAGCAAAGGAACTTCTTCAATAAGCAAGATAGAACCAAAGGTAGGGAGAGATACGCCATCAAGCTGAGCTTTGACAAGTAAATGACTTCTTTTAAACCTATAGAAAGTTTCATAACATCTCATGGAGCAACATCCTTGCTATTACTTTTTCCTTCATGAACTTAAAAGATACCCTAAAGTACAGGAAGATTTCAAAGGTTTTCAATAAAGCTGTTCAGAACAACTGAAAAGTTCTGGTCAATACCTCCAGAGACGAAGAACTTAGACTTGATGTGAAGAGGGTTCCTAAGGCTTTTAGGGAATTCTACAAAAATAGCATTTAATATCTTAAAATCAGCCTAATATCTAGTAAAGGGGTTTTGGGGTTTTGGGGTTTTGGGG